AGCCGACTGGCCTGGCCTCCCCTCTGCTCCGTGTGCTCCTCTGTGGCCCGTGGCCTGTGGGGGCCTCTCCACGCAGCTCCCAGGAAACGCACCTGAGCTGCCGTCTCACGCCCCATCGCCTTCCCGACCTCGCTGCCTCCTGCTTCCCGCCCACGCTTTCCAGCCGGAGTCACGCAGGACGGTGCCGCGAGTCTGTATTCTCACGGTTGTGCAAAAGGGCAGCAGACAGATCCACGCTGACTGAGCACACACGAGGGCCGTGGGGGAGGCGCTGAGCTGTCCCGTCTGCGCTACTAGCCGCCCAGAGTCCGCTGCCCCTACCCAGCCGGACGGGCCGCAGGCTGCAGCTTCTCTGTGTCGGTCTCTCCTGCTCTGTCCAGCGGACTGGCTCCACGGCCACGCTCAGCCCCTGGGGACCCCGTATTCTCCACGGCCCCAGCACAGCCTCCCACCGTTGCCGCCCCTCCCATTTCTCTGAGTGATTTTGAGAAACCTTGAGTCTGTGGATCTATTTATGGGCACTTGGTAATTTTAAATATATATTTTATTGATTTCAGAGAGGAAGGGGGAGGGAGGGATAGAGAGAAACATCAATGAGAGAGAATCATGGACCAGCTGCCCCCTGCATTCCCCACACTGGGGATGGAGCCTGCAACCCGGGCATGTGCCCCGACTGGGAATCGAACCGTGATCTCCTGGTTCATAGGCTCACACTCAACCACGGAGCCACACAGGCCAGCCGGCACTTGGTGATGTTTTACACAGCAGGGCAAACTTCTAAAAAGTAGGAGAAAGAAATACTGGGGATCATTGCTGTTGAGCTCCTCGTACAGTCATTTTGACGAGAGTAATTCTCTTTTCTGCCGGGGTCCCTCTTTGCCTCGCCTACAAAAGCAGACTCTCCAGTGGGTGAGGATTAACAAAAACTAACAAACAATCGAAACAAAACAAAAAACAGGCGCGCTCCGGGTGCCGCCAGCTCCTGAGACTGTCCCGGAGCCGGACACGCCGCCCAGCGGGAACCGACACGCATTATACAGTCCGCGGTGCCGACGGCTCGACAATCAAAATACGATTAACTTCACATTAAATTCTTAGCTTTAAACACTGAGTAATTAAGTTTAGGAAACCCCACGCAGCCGCAATGTGCTCAAAAACCTAAATGGAATAATCGCCCCCAAAGATGCTGGGCGAATAATGGCTATGAAAAGTTTTGAGCAAATGATTCAAGCTGAAGTCTGTGTAAGGCACCTCCAACTCTCTCCCAAAGACTCGCTAATTGCCTCTTGCTAGTTAATTGCATTCCTTAAGAAACATTCCTGCGTAAATGCTTCAGATCCATAATTAACCTTCCCACAGGAGCGGATTAGAAAACGCCGACAGAGTAAATATATAGTTTACTGAACAGCCTCAAGTTTGGAAATGGTCACAGATAGCATCCGTCCGTTCTCTTTAATACTGTAATGGACCCTCGCATGCTTCTCATCGTACATTTGACATATAGCTTTATTTATGGTGATGGCGACAGGGTTTTCCCGAGGGGTGAGAGGTCCCGGGAGCTGGAATGGTCCAGAAGCCTCCAGACCTTGCCACCTCACTGCTCGGCACTTCTCAGCCGTGGCGAGTAGCTCCTTTCACTCGTGTTTGCGAGGCAGCGGCGTGTGCCCACAGGGTGAGGGGGCTTTCTGAAGCTTCCGGGTGGGGTGTGCCGGGCCAGGACCACCTCCAGGTCCACTTGTAGCCAGGACTGTGCGGAGCGTGATCTCAGACCCTGCAGGGACCCCCCCGGATGAGCTGCAGGTACACTGACGGGTGTCAGCGACCTGAGGGCCGCGGCCAGGAGCCAAGGCAGCCTCTGGACACAGTGCAATCCAGCCCTTGGTGCTCAAGCAGCGAGTGGATTCTGATTAGCGGGCAGGGCAGGCAACAGGCAGCGGGAAAGGGGACGTCCATTCAAGCCCTGCTCTTTCCCGGATCAGCCTGTTCCTAGAGCAGATGGTTGCCCGCCGAGGCCGCGGTTACGTGGATGGGACGCATCGTGCAGGAGCGCCTGGCGGTGGGGACCAAGTGTGCGTTTCGGATCCCCCTCTGCGCCTCGCCTGTGGTCTGATCCCTGATACAAAAGGTGTAGGTGGGGCACTGAGTTCCGAGAGCTGCCAGGCGACCAGGAGCCGGGCTCCCTCAGGAACATAAGCCGCCCCTTTCCTCCTCCGGCGACAGAGGCGCTGCAAACAGCACGGAAAATCCTGCTGAGGACGCAGGTGTTTTCTAAGCGTTTCAGCAAATATTTGCACAAAGAGAAGAGGATTCTGGGCATCCACCCGGCATTGAATTCAGGATTTATTTAACAATCGGCTGACTCTTCGCTGTTTCACAAGAATGGCCCCAGAGCAGTTACTCTGCCGGAGCAGGACGTGGGAGGTGCGGGCAGGAGGCAGGCCTTCTGGATTGTACTGTTATTGGAGCAGGTGACTAGCCCTTCTTCAAGCTCACAGGCCTGCTGCCCACGCGTGGGCACCCGGGGCCGTCTCCTGGCCGTGGTCTGGAGGAATCGGTGATGGTGGGAAGCCCGCTGTGTGCGAGGGGGAGGCGAACACTCCTGTTCACAGCGACGGGCCTGGAGGGCCCCACGGGCCCTGGCGGAGCCTCGCTCAGCAGGCACGCAGCTGACACAGCCCCCGCCAGCCGGGTCCGCATCGTCGCACACGAGGGAGTTTCCTTGGGAAACAGAGGCAGGGACTTCCGTGCCCCTCTCTCCCCGAGCATGTCTCTCACAGCTGGTCAGTGCCCGTTCTCCACCCCTGGAGCCCCTGCCCATCCGGAACGGGCTGTTCCAGAGCCCGGAGAACCCTCCACGTCCCCACAGAAAGGAGTGCACATGGCTGTCACCCTGCTCTCCTGTGGCCCCCCCATCCCCATCCTCAGCCTCCCATTGTGGCCCAGGTGCCTCGGGCAGTAGGGGGCGGGGGGCGATGTGGCCTGATTGACAGCTGACTGAACCAACTACAAGGCGTTTCCCAACCCTTGTCATCTCAGTGCATCCACAAACTAACCGCTAAAATGCTGCGGATGCTAACAAAGGCATTACTTTTTTTGCTGACCTGGCACAAGAAATAGGTATGATTTTGATTGATTTACCAAATAATAGTAATTAATAATAACGACCTACCCTTTTTGCTCCAAAGTGGCTTTTTTAAAAATCAGGAGGCTTGCCCGGCCGGGGTGGCTCAGTGGTTGAGCATCTACCTATGAAGCAGAAGGTCATGGGTTCGATTCCCGGTCAGGGCACATGCCCAGGTTTCAGGCTCCATCCCCACTGTGGGGCGAGCAGGAGGCAGCCGACCCATGATTCTTTCTCATCATCGATACTTCTCTCTGCCCCCCTCTCCTTTCCTCCCTGAAATCAATTTAAAAAAGCAAAATCAGGTGCCTATGCTTGTGTATCAGGATTTCTGGTCCCAAGAAGCAACCAATCAGACACAACCTTATTCACAACGCGACCAGGAAGGTGCAGCCTATTGAGTGACCTGCCCACTTAGGCTCAGGACGGGCTCTCACACTTCTGACCTGAGGTCTGAGGGCAGAGGCCTGCCTACGTGGCGAGGGACCGAGGTTTCCAAACTGCGACTCAGGGTGGAAACCACTGGGCGACGGCGCATTCCCTGTAAGAGGAAACCGCAGCCGGCCCTGGGCCCGGCGCTGCCTGGGCTCTGTGAGCAGGTGGATGGGCTGGCAGTGGCAGGGACCGCCTGCGGCGGGCGAGAGGAGGCCGGGGCGGGAGAGAGGAGGCCGGGAGGCTCGTCATTGCCCGCCTCCTGACAGGAGAGCATCCAAGGGTAAGGGATCAGCGTTCACGGAGCTTTAAACAGGCCCCGTGACACCAGCCGCTTCCGTCTCTGCCGAGTGAGATGCCCTACTCGGCGCCTGAGCCCCCACCCCGATCCCAGCCTCACACCCCACAGACGTCGCTGCCCGAGGCAGGTCTGGGAAGGGTCCGCGTAGCTTTGCGTAATTTTCCAGGAGGCTTGGTTGTGCAAGTGACTGTGTTTTAGGGTGTAAGTCTGTCCTCGGTCGGGCGACGGTGTGCTGGGCGGTGCACGCGGCTCTGTTTTCCTGATGCGTGTGCTGCGGGCCAGCCTTCGAGAACTCCGGGGCCTAGAAACAGGAGACACGCGTGACCTGATTGCAAGGCTCCGGCTAAAGGCAGAGGATCTGACTGTGAGCTCAATCGGAAGCTGGCAGGTGGTGTCACCAAGGCTGCAGAAATCTAACCTTTCATGGGAAGAGTGAGGCCATTCCATTTTTTGTAGGGAAGATACAAAGCAGTGTTACCACGTTAGTCAAAGTCGTAGGTCACTGTGCCCACACAGGGCCCCTCACAGGAGATGGGGTCTCGGGGTGACGTGATCGTCAGAAAGGGTCAGAGGTCGTGGGCGCTCCGGTCTCGCCTTTCCCGGCACCTGTGGCGGGTTCATTGTGCTGCTTTGAGAAGAAAAAGGCGTGAGAGCTCCCGGGTTTGCGTTACCGTTTCTCTCCCCACGGATGGATTTTGCCCTGAGGACGTGCGCAGGCTGCTGGGGCCTCCACGGCACCAGCGATGAGGTCCGGTTGGCTGGTTCCTGAGTAGACATCTCGGGAAGCACTGCTCGGAAGGGGACCCGTCTGTTGAATTCCAACGGGAGCAGGCATACGGGGGAAGTGAAAAAACACGAAGCTGCGGCGCATCCGGCTGGCACTCCGCCAGGCTCTGCAGGGATGACGGGAGCCACTCAATAGCCGAGGCCGAGCCCTCGCTGTGGGTACTGCACATCCCCGTGCGCGTGAGGGAGGCCGTACCGCCCCCTCTCCCACCGGCTGCTGGTCGGTGGTGCCCAGAGCGAACGTTTGTCCCGGGATAAGTGGCTGGTGTTGGACACACTTAGCTCTGACATCCCATGAAATTGGGAAACTCAGAGCATATTTTAGCTGTTCGAAGGGCGTACATTTTTCTTGGGGTGATTTCGAGAATGCTGACCTCTGAACTCCTGTGACCCACGGTGAGTGAGGCTCAAGTGGGGGTCGGAGACCCCGAGGAGCCGAGGGCATTCTGGGTGACTGGGGGGGAGGCGGGCGGGTCTGCAGGGGGAGAGGGAGGCTTTAATTCCCGGACACGGGATGTTGGCATCACTTGGCCTTTGGTGTCAGGTGGTCCGTTTGCTGTGAAACGCAGCCAACGTGGCAGCCAGGCCGGGTTCGAATGCGCTCGGCGGATGTAGTGTGACCTCATTCGGACGTGATGGCGCAAGAACGGGTGCCAGAGGGGATAGAAAGGACAGAGAAGAAAGTGCTTCGTTCCAGGGTCCGAGGTGAGATGGGAGGGGAGTGAGATGACGGTGAGCAGTGACTGGGACACGCATGGGGCCTGCCTAAGGCCGTGTGTGCCCCCACGGCCATCGGAGACCTGCTTCCTCCTTCAAATGGCGAGCAGATGGGGCGGAACGGCCGCCGTGAGAGAGTTTGAGGCTGGGGTTCGGTGACGGTCAGTGTAGTCTGCAGCCGGGTGGACGCCACGGCCACAGCTATGGCCACGGCCACGTGCTCTGGCGTGAATATGGTCACAGCCGGGGCCGGTGTCGGGACGCCCCCTGAGCTGCGGGCGGGTTAAGGGACCCGGTGCCTCGTCCATTGTGGTCAGTGAGACGTCAGGGAACCGCGGTCACACATCCCAGAAGGAAGTGCGGCCTTCGGAAGGACTGTCTCGTCTGGAGCCACAGGGAGGGAGTCGTGCGCCTGCGCGGAGGGAGGTCCCTGTGACATGGCCCCTCGGGGAGAAACCCTGCCCCTCCCCTCACCGCACAGCGATCAGAGAGATGCGGAGAGCGGACACTCCGTCACCGCGGGAGCGCTGGGTGCCGGGGCCGGGATGGCGAACGGAAAGGACCCAAGGAACGCCGTGGTTCCGACGGGAAATGTCGGTCAACGAGCCAGGCACCGAGCGGGGAAGCTGCTCTGCTTCTCGTCGGAAGCAACTCTGTCGTCCAGGCTTCTGGCCGCGAAGCTGCCGGAATGTCTGCCGTCGGTTCATCTACATCCGACCGTTCCCCGGGACCCAAGTCGCCCTGCTTTGTGTTCTTGGCTCTTTCCATGTTGACGTTCATATAACAGTAACAACAGCAGCAACAACAATAATAATAACGACTTGATGGGACTGTCCCCTGGGACGGCCGTCTCGTCATGTGAGCATGTGCACATGTTCCACAGGGACCGTGTGGGGGGCGGGGGGGGGGGGGGGGGGCTCGGGGGGTATGTAATACCCTTTGTAATAATAAATTTAAAAAAATAGCATGGGGGGGACAGGGCCTGGGGGGCCTCCTCTTGGGAAATCAGTTCAGGGAGGAGCAGTAACCGTGTCGCCCTCAGTCCAGGTTTGTAAGTCACTGCGGGATCCATTCCAGGGTCCCAGTCACTCATATTCTGACCAAATGCGATTTTAAACCTCCCAGTGTTCTATGTACCAGCAAGTATTACAGTCGGAGACACGCATTTACGTTCATGATCTTGACCGCCAGGCTGTGGGTTTTCCTTTAGAACGGGTAGGCGCATGGTGAATGTTGTTTTAATGACCCTGAATGCCATTCGAAGCTGCCTGGTAGATGTGAGTCGAAGGCACTTATTAACACACAGGAATTAAATTAAGAGCCAGTGACACATATTGCATGAATGTGCTTCCTGTCCGCACCTGGGGACGCCGTGGCGCAGTCCCCGCCGCCTCCTGCCTGCTGGGAGGTGAGCTTCCGTGGGGGGTGAGTCACGCGCCCAGGAGCGCCCCCAAGGATCAGACACCCGCCCACCAACCGTACGGTCCAGGGGACGGAGGCTCAGGAGGA